CGCCCAGAAATAAGTAATTTGAGTACGGTGGGTACCCACACTTCTCAAAAATGCGCAGCAAATCATAATATTGTCCATGAATATCACCACAGATACGCACTGGTGGTTTAATCTCTAGTAGCATAGGCTGGGACATAAATATATCACGTACTTCACTGAGAATAGTCCGTATATCCTCTTCACGGATAAGAATCTGCTGTTGTGTGGTACTCTTTTTTGCCGTCAACATCTTTTCCAGAAGAGTTTGTACGAGCACCATATTTAAATAGTTTTAACGGTATGGTACAGTAGTTTGCTTTGAGATTTTTAATCTCTTATTATAAGGAATGAACCCAAACGGAGTTTTTGTTCTCCTTTAATATGTACTATAGGGAGAAAAAGCGAGCAACGGAGAGGGGGGGGAAAAAAAGTATGTTATCTTCAGTAAATTGAATGAAAAGTTATGGTTTTAGAAGGGTTCAATAAATCCAATAAATTCTTTATTTAAATAAGAATAGCATTATCGTGCAAGAACAAAAAATGGAAACAGACACACATACACAAATAAATAAATAAGTAAATATGTAAATAAATAAATTATACATATATATATATATATATATATATACAGATATATTCATACTTTTGATGCCGTATGGCATTCATAGTATTATGGTTGTTTATGTCGGTACTTCAAGGGTTTTTTTTTTTATATATATTTCACGCATTTTATTCGTACTCTTCACGTTGGTAGTACTCACGCGGCGCGTGGACCTCGTTCGGGTCTATCCCAGGGGTATATGATAAAGATACAAGTAGGAATCGGGTAGTATTATACACAGAATGCCAAGCTCGTGTGTACCAGGGATTGACAGCATATTTCTTGTTAATTCGCAAAACCTTATCCTCATCGAATGGGGTTGGATGCTGTACCTTAAGACTAGTGGTCCCGGAAGTATTTTCGTCCAACTCGTCTATGGGTTCTCGTGTGCTATGGAGTCGTTGCTGTACGGATGCCGCGCGTGCCTTCAGTTCCTCACGGCGGAGGCGCATAATCTCTTCTTGTTCTTGTCGCTGTTGTTCTTCTATATGGTGCTTCCACTCATCCTGTCGCTGTAGTTCTTCAGTAATACTGTAGACCTCATCCAGCGTGGTGACAGCGGGGTGTTCAGTATCACTGTCACTGTGTGTGGAGGAATTGGAGTCATCATCATCTCTCTCTGTATGGGATGAGTGCTCCATTTCCATCCCCACATTTGGAAGTAGAGACATTTAATGTCTCCCCTCTTTTTTTTTTCTTCTCTTTTTTAGAGCTGAATGAAAAGTACGGTAGGAGATCGAAAAAGAGAAAGAGGTGTTGCAGGATCAGAGTAAAATGAGACAAAAGAGTAATAACAATAGCAGTAACAACAAGTCATAAAGACATGGATACCCAGAGTAGAAAAGCATGTCTTTCTTTCCCTGTGAAGATACCATAAATAATGGTTGTTGTTGTTTTTGTTGTTGCTTTTTCCCCCTCTCATCGCTTCCTTCCTTCCTTCCTTTCTTTCTTAAAATGTTCCCCCATGTTCATTTCCTTTTTTTTTTTTTTTTGTTTTTCCTCTTCCTTTTTTTTTTCCATTCTACTCATGCCGTAGAGCTTGTAAGAGACTATCTACATGCGCCAAGTCCACACCGTGTCGCATGTGACCCGCCACGTCCAGACGACTCCCAATCGAAGAACGGCAGAGCCCCACAGCGCGCAACACCACGTTAGCCAACATCTTCGCATCCACATCCCCATGGCGAAGCGAAATAAAGTGAATGGGATCCGATATTTTGTTATTTTTTGCTATTAGCATGCGCTCATTGAAAGTTGGGTACACTATACCACATACACGGAACAGGGTGAAGCGAAGGGGGGTATCACGCTGCATACAGAGTGTATTAGGAGTCCCATCATCGTTAAGAAGAAGACGCTCTTGCTGCCGTGTGGATTTTAAATAACCACGGGGATACAAAAACACTCTGCGGATCCACTGCAGTGGTGATATCCACGAGGGTCTGTTGAAGAGCGGTACAAACACCACGAGATGTGCATCCACAAGATTACACGCTTCTATAGTCTGACGTAACCCACCCACATCCACCTGCGCACAACCAGGAAGAAAAAACCTCGATAACCAGTTCCCGTTACTATTGCTATTATTGTTACGATTCTTTGCAGATGCCGTATAAAGTACAAGTGAGGCCTGCCGCACCGCATGCCGCACCGCCTCGGGAGAATTCACATCGCCCTGAAGAAGTTCCACTTGAAGTGGAGCAGCCGCACCGGGTCTTGTGTGATATGTGTAGCGCACAGAGGATCCAATACCTGGAATATCGTTATGGTGTTCTTCTGTGAACTCAACACCACTCGCAGCTCCACGTTCATTCATCGCGGTAAAAACAGACTTTGCATTGTTAAGATCCCGAGCAAGAACTGTTATACTAATACCACGCCTAAGGCACTGCTCTGCCACAAAGCGTGCAAAGAAACCAGTACCACCTATAAGGGTAACGGTAGAAAATGCTGCAGGTGAATCAAGATCCCTTCGCATATCTCTAGTGTTTTTCTGTGGGAAGCACATATAGTGACGTGCTGTCTCCAGCAATGAAGGCAAATCACATGATGTTTTTGCCGTTGTTGATGCACGGCCCCGCAAAATGTTCGCATCTTGGCGGGTACTTTCCTCCCGCATAACGCTGTAAAAAGGTGAGGCAACACTACGGATCACACGTGACTCCACCACCTCACTGAGTTCACATCGCACCATCTCCCAAATGCATGTAAACAGTCGCTTCTCGAATCGTGTGGGAAATGTGGGTGGGTGGG